TATAAATGTTTCACAACAAATACCAATTTTTTTTACATACAGTAAGGTTCATTTTTTGTCCTGGTCCTTAGTATTTTTTAGAAAACTTGTCTTGTAATAATTTTATTTTATTTTTCATACAGTAAGGTTGTGGGCAGGCCTGTCAACAAATTGGGTATAACCCGAACTGATCTGAATCAGATCCAATTAACCTGGTCCATTTATACAAATCCGAATCTGAATATCTGTTTAATCCGTATCTGCGTAACCCGATTTAAAACGGGTCAGATTCGGATAAATCCGATCTGGTCCATTTGTTTGCCTAATCTGATTACATTGAATTCCCTGAAACCAAATCAAATCTTTTAGAATCAAATCTCTCTCTCATCGTCTTTTTCATCATTTCTCATAGAAGAATACTAGATTTGAAAAGTGCATTAGGTTTGAAATCAGATCTCTCATAATCAAATCTCTCTCTCATCGTCTCTTCTTGCTCCGATTCATGACAATGAACTTAGCCAAATCGAGCTCTCTGCTGTTGCTGATCTAGGTATTCTTTGGTGAGCTCTTTGGTTAGTATCAAATCTATCTTTCATCGTCTTCTTTTGTGACTTCGACAAAACAAGCTCATATCAGGAGAGCTCAAAATCAAACTATTTCAGGTAATTGAATTTCTAAGCTTTCTCCGAATTTTTGGCTTTAATTTTTGTTCTGTTTTTGATTTCTAAGCTTGGGCTTAGGTTCCTCCGTTTTTTTGACGATTGATGTTCTTTGAGTGGATCTAGTGTATCTATTTTGAATTGTTGTTTTGAGGGTTTATGGTTGTGCTCCATTTGTGTTTGTCATTGTATTTGCTTTTGACTACCTTGTACTTGTGTTTCTCCTTTATATAAGAGGTCTGGGTTGTTTGTTTGAATGGAAAATTAATTCTAAAACATTTTCTTGGATGTTTCTGGGACTCTATATATTTTTTATTTGATGGGTACTTTGGGTTGTTTGTTTGAATGTAATATCATATATTTGTTATCAATTATGAATCAGTGGGTCGGTTGATTTATTTAAGCAGTTTCAATTTGGCAGTTTTTGTCTATTAGGCTGTTTTTTTTTCCACTTTTTCCCTTACATTTTCCCTTCCATTTCCAAATCATTACCCCAATTCCATGACCCAAACACAGCCTTACTATCATTTTATCTGCACAAGCAGAGATAGCATTTTCTAGAACTTTGAATTGCGTAGGCAGGTTGGGCGATTTTTTGCACACCCCTTTTTTGGGTGGAACATATTCAAGCTAATGCCTATAGTGTGTGTTTTCTATTATAATGATACTTGGTGTCACTGAGATTGGAATTTAATGTTGTTACTATCTTGCTTTTGTGTTTCCATAGTGTCTGATTAAAAATAAAAATAAAAATCAACATTGAATTGTGATTTTATTTTAATTCAGGTCTTGTTGGTAATGGCAAAAAGAAAGAAAATTTTTATTATTATGCTAAGGTATGTCAAATTGGATGTATTTTTCTTTGTAGGAATAAATTCAAAGCTGTTGGCATTGATAGAAATTGACCACTTAATTGTATATGGACATACCTTTATAATTGATTTCTTTTAGTGCTTCTCTGAAAATTGCTGGAACTATATTGGTGAGCCTGACTGTTTCATTAGTGAACTGCAATTTTACTTTAAAAGTTAGGACTAACATAACTTCTATAGACTTATGAGAGAGAGAGAGAGAAAAAAAAAGAGACTTTTTAACCCACCTGGAATGTAAATGTCATTGATTTATCAAAACGCATAGTAGGATCTTTTTACATGTTGTACATTGTCTTTCTCTATCATCAAGTCTTCTTCTCCTTACATTCTGCCTAATCAATGGTTTACATCATTCAAACCTTTCCAAAAGATCAAAAGTTAAGCATCTTACCTGCTGCCTTGGCAGCTATAGCTTCTTGATAGACATCAGTCACAAATAGCATCTCTGCTGGCCTATCTACTCCCATAGATTCTGATATTTCAACATAACTGCTTGTTTCTTTCTTGTTCCTGCACATAATAGTAGTGAATGATGATTTACCTAGCATGAAATAGTAATATAATAGCTTTTTAAAACAAAGAAATGCATTCAAGGAGTGTGTAATATACCCCACTATGGTATCGAAAAATCCACACAAGTATTTCTTTCATATTGCCAAATATGAGCCTTTGTGCCAATCTGCTACTGTTGGAATATATGTACACCTGAGAAAAGATAAGCAAGAGTTGACGTATAGTAACTTACACAAACAACCATGGGAAATTAATTAAGTGCATGTGGAGGGAAATCAAAGCCACATAATCAAACCACCAAATCCGTAAAGCAACAACAAATGACCACAAGTCTTGCAAGATAATTGAAATCAAAGTCACATAATCAAACTACCAAATCAATATTACCCTTAATTTTCTGTTAAATTTCCTTGTCTATGACATCACTACCACATCCTTTATAACTTTGTCTCTCTAGTTTTTTTTTTTTTTCTTCCCTTTCTTGTCCCATGGTCTGTCTTATATTTTTGTGTGGACTCCACGTTAGTTCATTTTGGAATTTGCTATGATAGTTTTTTTTGTTTTTGTTATACTTAATGGATTATTATTAAATTTGTTTGATGGATATATTTTGATTTATAATATGAATTGTTTAGTAAATTTTTTGTGTGGACTGTGTATAATAGCTACTGGATTTCTTAGTACATTTAAAAGGCAATTGGGATATGAGCAAGAATATTTGTGAAATAATAATTTAAATTGAAATATAAAATATGGGACAAGTTTAGTGACAAATTTTTTCACCATCTGTACTTGTTATTATGACAAAGTGATTATTTGTCGCTAATAAATATTTTTTGTAACAAAATTTATTACAGCTTATATATGAAAGTTTTCATTGGTGACTAAACATTTCGTCACATATATATATATTTTTTCCACGAAATATATTTCGTCACCTATGTATGACGTTTGGAGACAAAAAATTTCGTCAACTTTACATTTTACTACGACGAAATTATTTCCTCATTAATGATCAACATGTGTGACAAATTTATTGGTCAACTAAAGTTATAAATATAGTATTGAATAACTATTTGGTGACGAAAATGAGGATTTTTGATGACAAAATGCTGTTTTATTGGTGACAAAAAGTTTCGTCACTGAAGTAATTTCATTGGTGACGAAATTATTTTTCATCATGATGCTTTTTAGTGACAAACATTCAATGACGAACCTGGTGACAAAATTATTTCCTCACAAATATCTATACTGATGAAATTAGCTCTTTGGAGACAAAAAAAATTCGTTATCCAAGACCCAACTTATTGTAGTGTCGTGATAAGAATAGATTAGTTTGGTGAAACGAAACCCATCATTGGATTGTGACTTGCTTACTAGTATTATTTATTTGGGATTGGGAGTCATGTGTGCATATTTTATTTTGTGACTTGAATATGGCGGTCTCGATTTTGGTTTCTGGAGGCAGTTACTATATTTCCTTGGGATAATAAGTTAGTCCACTTACTAGTTGTTGTCTTTGACTTCAAGGAAGATTGCATTTTGATAGCACTTGGGTTTATATGTGCCTGGTGGGGTTACTTTCTCTGGTCTTCTGGATTTTTAGTTAGTTGCAGAATTCAGAACTTCAAAATTCAAATGACGCTCAAGGTGACATCAGCTTTAGTTTAGGTGGTGGTGGTGGCTATGGAATGGAGAATAAAGAGAGAGAATAATAGGGAGCTTAGTCATGTTTAGGGTCTTGGAAGTTTTGTACAAAGCACCAACTCTCAAGGAGAATAAATGCCAGATCCTGAGTCTTATTTGCTTTGTTTGGTTATTTGAAAAAATTAGTGGATTGAGACATTATTTTTTTAATAATGCTTCAAGAAGGAAGGCATTACTTTACTAATCTTTGTTTGCATGCTTCAATACAACGAGGCTTCATTTTGCTACACTTTGGTTCTTCCTACTCATATACACATATCATTTATATGTCATAATTTGTTTCAGATTCTGGGTTTTCTGTTTCTTAGATGTTAGAGAACCATATTTCACCTAAATTTAGTATATTGATCGGTGAATCACAGAAACTTTCTCAAACATGAGTTAAATTTGAGTTATTGTAGAAAATATTAGTTAGTTGTAGGATCAGACTTGCCATATGTTTTAACAGAGAAATGCTTAATTTGCATGGTATCTTTTGATGGAGGGATATTTGCCTCTTTAGTGGAATCATATTGTCAAGTTTTTCTCCACTTCATTGAATGTGGTTTATGAGGTTTTTCCTTCATGTTAACAAGTATTCATTATTTTTCTTTTATATTTTTTTATTTGATTTTTCAGACTGCCAATTGTGAGTTTGATTATAAATTAGGTTATCAGTTTTGTTGTTTTTAAATGAATTCTGCATGCCAGTACAATAGATTGATCACATGCACACAAATCTATATAATTTCCAAATTGAAGTGTTGGGTGCACACTGTTTGTGCTTGTCTACAGTTCTGTTCGATGCGTAATTATCTTGCCAACTCCTGCTCCTTTATGTTTGATTTCTTGTGCAGTGCATATTTGAGTTTTTGAGCCATAGATGTCTTTAGATTATAGCGAACATATTATTGTTGATGATGCCGAGTTGGATGACGATGTATCTCAAGGACCCACAAAGAGGATTCGAAAACTAACTTTAAAGGTATGGAATGACTTTGTCAAATTTAAAGGACCGAATGGAAATGACATAGCTAGATGTAAGCATTGCAATAGGGAATTTGTTGGAGAGAGTAGGAAAGGGACTAGTCATTTAAAAAATCATTTGTCGAAGACATGTCCAGTACTTAAAGGACCAAATGCCCCTAGGAATGCTAGTAAGGTTGCTTCTGAATCTACTTCTAAGGCTGCAACTTTTAAATTTGATCAAGAGAGAAGTCGTATGGATTTTCTAGGATGGTAATCAAGCATAATTATCCTTTTTAACATGGCTGAGCATGAATTTTTTGAAATATTTTGCAATAATCTTCAACCAATGTTCAAACTTGATTCTTGTAACACTGTTAGGCCGGATGCCCTTGATGTTTATGAAATAGAAAATGCCAAGTTATATCAATTTTTGGATGAACTCTCTTCTAAGATCACCTTGACACTGATATATGGACTTCAGACCATCAGAATTTTACCTATAAATGTTTGACTGCCCATTATGTGACTAATGATTGGGAGTTAACGAAGAAATTCCTTGCTTATAGACGCATTGATTACCTGCATGATGGAGACCATTTGTTTAGCTTTATCAAAGATCTAATTTTAGAGTGGAACATAGATAAGAAGTTGTTTTCAATGGTAGTCGATAATGCAACGAGTAATGATGTCATGGTGACACTCTTAAAGTGATGGCTACATGACCAAGGGTTATTACATTTGGGTGGACAATTGTTTCATGTGCGTTGTAGTGCGCACATATTGAATTTAGTTGTTCAGGGTGATTGGGGAGTCTTATTTCAAAAATTCGAGAAAGTGTGAGATATTTAGAGAGGTCTCCTTATGGAAAACAAAAATTTGATGTTGCAGTGAATCATGTTAAGTTACATCATAAAAAGAAAATCCCCATAGATGCTCCTACTAGATGGAACTCCACTTATTCAATGCTTGAACCTGCATTAGATTTGAAAAGTGCATTCCGCGGCTTAGGGCAAATTGACAAACAATATAAGCACAATCCTTCTGAGGATGAGTGGCATGTAGCAAATGTGATTTGTGGGTGCGTGGAGATTTTTTTTGATGCTACATCTCACTTTAGTGGTACCACTTTTCCTACTTCAAATGTGTTTTTTCCCGATATTTGTCTTATTCAACTTGAAATGAAAAAATGGGGGCAAAGTGAATGTGATTGCATTCGATTGATGGCTGGTCCAATGAGAGTGAGAATTCAAAAATATTGGGAAGAATGTTCTTTGGTGTTAGCAATTGCAGTGGTTCTCGATCCGAGATTTAAAATGGACTTGGTGGAATACTACTTTAGGCTTATTTATGGTGTTGATGCTAATAAGCATAATCAAAGGGTCCATAATGGTTTTGTTGATCTTTTTTTTATGAGTATAGGAGTGATTCTTCTGATTCTATGAGTTGCATTGCACTTGTTTTTGAAAATAGTAGCTCAAATGGTAGTCAATTGCTTGTCAGTTCTTCGAAACAAGAAAGTTTGGCTGCTTTTCATACGTGGTATGCCCAAGAACGTGCTTCTAACATTCATGCCTATCAAAAATTAGAGGTGGAGCAATACTTGGACGAGTTGGTGTTTCCAAGTAATGAGAGTTTCAATATTCTACATTGGTGGAAAGTGAATAAAGCAAAATTTCCTACTTTGGCAAGGATGGATCATGATGTTTTAAGTGTTCTAGCTACTACGGTTGCATCAGAGGCAGTGTTTAGTGTAGGAGGTAGGGCGATTGATGAGACACTTTCTTCATTACTTCCAGATATTGTGGAGGCCTTGATCACTTGCAATGATTGGATTGAATCAACCAAAAATAGAAGTAAGTGAAATATTGAAGTTTTTAAATAATTAGATGTTCTTTAGTTTAGTTCTATAAATATCTTAATGTCACATTATTTTGAAATTGCAGATGTAGAAGAATGATGACATGAGTAGATGGATTGTTTCTGTGTTGGTTTTGATGCCTTGGTGAACTTTGTTTCTGCTTTATATCACTTGGTTTGTCATTTATTCATCGTATTATGACATAATTTGATAATCTGTTTGCATATTAAGGTAGTAACTTTCTTGATTTGCAGGTTTGATAATGAGCTTAACAAAATGGTTGCTATCAAAGTTATTGACTTGGAAGAATCGTGAGTATATAGCTTTAATTATGTCTCCTCTATACAATTTATTTACTCTCTCTCTTACTAGCTTATTTATGCTTTAGTTTAGGTCAGTCCTTTATACTTCTCTCTAGAATAAACTTGTGTTTCAGGAGGTTTCCTTTTCCTGTAAAGCTACCAGTAAGTGTTCGATTGCAACTAAAAATTGTTTGTAAAAGACTTGCATCACCATTCTTGTGGTGTAAACTATTACTGACATTGGAAGTGTATCAGAATTTTGACATTTTTTCTCCGTCAAGTTTTGACTCTCGTTGGCTTTGTAATTTAGAATTGAAGATGTCTCACTATTTTTGGCTTTGAAAGAGGTGACCCCTCTTGTGGTGAAATGTGGGTACATAACGTTTCTTCTTGGAGCTTGATATTTTTGGATTAATTATTGTTATCAAGATTTACATTGTTTAGTTTGTCTAAAAATTCTGTTGAGTTTCTATAAGGGTAATTCTATTGCTGGGGTCGAGTAAAAACTTTTTTGATGCATTGAGTGATTATGCTCTGCCCTAGCAGTAGTCACTATTGCTCTGGCAATGGGGTTGCCCTTCTCTTATTGTATGTTGCCCTTAGTACTTAAATATCATTCTGTCATATACACCCACTATAGGATCTCTGTATACCTTTTTCACCAATTATTGCCTTACCCTAGTCAAACCTATGTGTGTCTATGGAAAGGGAACGGACATTATGACCCATTTTTTTGATATTTTTGTCTTGCCAAAACTTAATTCACCTTAAATTTTAGTTCATTATATTTGAATTTTTTTTTTCAAAGGGAGGTTTTCATATCCTATCACCTTGGGTAGCAGAGTTTCTGCCATTATAGGATGTAAACAAGATAATAAACAACTACCAACATCCACGGACACATGTCCGGATCACTATACAACAAGGGTAAACCCGGGATCGCTATATTATGACCCATTTTTTTGATATTTTTGTCTTGCCAAAACTTAATTCACCTTAATTTTAGTTCATTATATTTGAATTTTTTAAAGGGAGGCTTTCACATCCTATCGCCTTGGGTAGCAGAGTTTCTGCCATTATCTCTTGGGACATGCCATGAGAATTACATTACATTACATACTCTTTAAGATATATGCCAATTCCAGTTATATACATTTATTAGTGTTCCAGGCTGTTTTTCTTCACTGTTTTTCTTTCATGGCTTGTGTTGTTTTCTCTATGCAGGTTGGGGCTAGCTTTATGGATGCTTGCATCTTTGGAATGATTAAGGGTTCAGTTTTTTTGTTTTAGCTTTAGGCCAGCTTAGGGAGGTTCTGTCCATTTGTGTTCCTATTAATGTTGTTTTCATCCATACTTTCTTTTTTGTTTTAGGTCTTTTTAGCTCTACTCAGATGAGGGGTTGATTTGTTTGCTTTTTGTATTTATCTCCTTATAAGTTAGATGCTGAATGATTTAGCATTTATTTATTTTTTTTAGAAAAATCATTGAATGTGTTAGATACTGGAAAAAAAAAAAAAAGTTTTGTATAATCTTATGAGTAGTAGAAGTATTCAAAATTTGATGTTACAAACAATATTTTTTTATAATTGGTATTTTATTGACTTTATATGGCTGGCTAATCACAGAGAGAGAGAGAGAGATCTGTGTAAAACGGATCTGATCGGATCGCGAGTAATCGGATTTTTAATAATAGAATTCAGATTCAGATTAATAGTTAATCGGATCGGATCGAATTTTGACAGATCCGACTTGGATCTGACTCGTTGACAGGCCTAGGTGTGGGTTATTTCATTTGGTTATTGAAAACACAAAATTGAGGGTATTTTTTGAATTGTGGGTTGTATTTTTCATTTAGCTGTCAAAAAAATGTTTGCCAAATAAACAATTTTTTCTCTTGTTTTACCAAAAAATTTGGTATATGCAATAATTATTATTTTCGTTATATTTTTTTGCTTGTTAAATAAAGACAAATTCAAAAAAAGTATACATAATTTTTATTTTTTTTTATGCAAACAACGGATTTGTTGTTTGCTATATATATATATATATTTATTTTTTTAAATAAATGTTTTTAGTTTCAAGTTGTGGACAATACGATACACCAACCAACTATTCCAATATTTGTTAGAATACTTCACAAATTTATAAGTTGCACAAGTTTTATTGTTTGTGATTACTATTCTCAACCAGTCCTAGTAACTTTGGCGGTAACCAAGCACTACGAGGCTCAATTGATGAAATTGCTGCCGACATGGTAAAGGGAACTGATTCGAACTTGTATACTACGAAATACTTCTATACTAATGGGACAATTATGGATTTACGAGTTCTTTCAGGGCCATCATGGGCATTGCGAAGATGTGATACGCATGCCGAAGAGCCTTTTTTTATTGTTGTGCTAAGTTCTTGTCAACTTTAGCCTACCGATACCTAAATGCGAGCACAGTTTAGAGGTCAAACAAAAGGTGGCTATTTTCATAAATATTTTGTAGGGCTTGCCTAGAAGACATTAATATAACGACTTCAGCACTCCGAGGAGACGGTGTCAAGAAATTTCCATGAAGTGTTGCAGGCAATGATATCCTTCACAGACGTCCATAGTAGAAGTTTAGACCCAACAGTTGTGCAACAACGTCAGCACCCAAACACAATACTTGCCATTCTAGGTGCAATGCTTGTATTTTTTCTTTGACACGTGCTTCACAAATTTGCATTTTTGCAACAATGTGTAACAACACGTGAGATAGGACTGCATTGGTAGCACATAGTGGCCTGGATAAAATAGTCGAACGTAGGGCCGTACCGGTGGCCACAAAGAAATTCCCACACAAAATATTATTGCTGTGTGTGACTTTGATTTATACTTCACTTTTGTTTCCTGTAGCTAGGATCGAAGCATGCACGACAATAGAGTTTTACATTACGTTACAAGTAATAACGTGCATCGATTCCCGCATCCGGAACCAGGTAAAAGTTGATTGTTAATAAAATTGTATGCAATAATTATTTGATATATATGCACTAGTTTTTGTAAATTTCTTTACTTTATGTAAATGTTGTGTGATATGTACTAATTGTTTATGTGCAGATAAATACTACTTGGTTAATAGTGGGTATAATAATTAGAAAAGGTTCTTAGCACCATGCAAGGGCTACCGGTATCACTAATTGGCTTATCACAACCGACGACCACGGTATGGCTACGAACGCTTTAATAGGGCACATTTGTCGTTGCATAGTTGCATCAAGAGAATGTTTGGGGCGAGGAAATCAAGGTAGGGCATCTTGAAGAACATGATGAAATACGATTTTTGGACAGTACAAGTTTCCTTAGTTGCAACATCAATGACCTTACATAATTTTATAAGACGAAATAGCCTCATTGATGAAGTATTGCAAAATATCCAAAATGCTGAGGACTACGAAACGCTGAACTTTCCCGACCACCCAACAATGACAATAATTGGAGAAATAATGATGCCAGGAGATGAAGACATTGAAATGGCCAATGTGAGGGCGACTATTGCATGTGCGTTGGTAGCGTGACCGCAAGCGTAGTAGCTTTGTTGGTGGGGGCAGCGAGAAGTATATTACAAGATTGTTGTGTGTATATGAGAAATGGAAATTATGTTATTAAAACATTTTGTTTTTGCTTGTTAAAGAAAAAAAAAATTCATGTCATGAAATGTTGAGAGTAAAAAAGATTCAATTTTTTTTAACAAGTTATTTTTTATTTACAGATCACTAAATAAAATCTTCTTTCTTTTAGATTGTCATGAAATATTTTCTTGTTAAACTTGGCAATTGTTAATTTTTATTATGCAAAATCCTGATGCCAACATAATAAAATGAAACGGTACAAATTCACGATAAACAATTTGTACAATTATTAACAAATGTGGTCAAATAGATTGGAGCAATAGCGTTATTTTGCAAATACATGCGTATTTCCATAACACACTTTTGTTTTCATGTTATTTGAGAGGGGGATTTGCGCCGAGATATGGTAGCGCGAGGTATGGTGTTGGGCCTTGCGAGGGCCAAACCCTGTGTCTGACCGAACTGAACCAACGCAGCTCCCTGGCCATTACGTTGGGCCGAGCAAACCATTAACCAGAATGCGAAGACATGCAGGTGCTCAACCTAGTTGTGATTCGACCTGATATTCAGTTAGATTAGCAGTGATGTGTTGGGCCGAGATGTTTTACAAGGTAGCGAGGCGAGACTGAGATGTCAAACCGCGCCTCACGACTGGTCAGTTCATACAGACCGATTTATTATAGTTCGACCATCCCAGTCATTGTCGTGTTTCTTCTAAGTGATATGTCGGTCGTGGTAGCCCGGTTGTGTGAGCCACCTGGACCAATGATATGAAGAAGGGAAAATCCACTCTTGGTATGCGTCAATACCGTTTGGCTGTTCGACAAACACTGTTTGGAGGTTTTGGTCTCTACGTGTGTAAGGAAATTAGAGGGGAGTATAGACACCTGTCCAGGGAAGGACAACAGATGTAGTGTGCCCACAGTCTCTGAGGCTGCATGGCCAGCCTAGAAAAGGAGGAATGGGGAGACGTTAGAGGTAAGAAATCTGAAGGAATTCACAACTCTCTCTCTCTCTCTCTCTAGAGCGCTCTCTATATTCTTTTTTTTCTCCAAGTGTGCTAACTTGATCATCGGAGGGTTTATCCGGCAGCACATCGTCGGGTAGCTCACCTTCTTTCTGTTTTCAGGTTAAGCGGCGTTACGTGAAGCTTGGGCTCAAGGAGTGCGAAGAACGAAGAATATTACACCCCCGTACAATTGGCGCCGTCTGTGGGACAACTTTGACAGACAAACCTTGTTCTTCAAGCTTTTTCGACCATTTTCATGGCTAACAATGACGAAACTCCATTGTCCGTTGTCGATGGTATCGCACCAGAGTCTGTCCGACGGAGAGATGGCCCTCCTGCTATTCCGACTATGGCGGGCTTGGAAACCTCTTCCAGAGGTGTGCGAGACAAATGCGCATGGTGCACTGACCACTCAACGAGTCCAGAGGGTTATCGACGACGGGGAGAGTCACATGGTCAATGCCTGGAGCACTAACTCAGAGACCAAGACGCCCTCATTCGCAAGATGGTGGTTGAAATGGAGGCGCTGAAGCGCTAGATCAAGGGGAAGGGTGTTGCTGGAGAGGGCAACCACAGTGAGCGCACCCCGCCTCCTCGCTCAGGCAGTCGTCGCCAAGATAGGACGCCCTCTCTCTCTATCACCAGAAGCTATGGGGTTGGAGACTCCGATCCACAAGTGGAGGGATCTTACACTCGCGACAGCAGCTACCGTCCCTCACGTCCATCGACGACGTCGAGATACTCTTACTCCGCTCATTCGGGGAACCTAAGGGATGTTTTGGAGGAGCAGGCTCACTGTAGAGAGACCCAAAGATTGCCGGCGTTGCAAAGGCTGAGTCCCTAAATCTATTGCAGTAAGGAAGTGACAATGCCAGCACCTAGAGTGATGGCCCCAGTGCCAGTGAACAGAGAGCTAGCGAGACTTACCGCTACCGTACTGTCCCCAAAAATCGAGAGCACGCCGCTCCCTGCCGGATTCCACCAACCTAAGTTCACGCTATACGACAGCAAGACAGATCCGTACATGCACGTGAGTCATTACCAGCAAGTAACGACTGGCCACCGGTGTAATGACGCCTTGATGTGTCTCATATTCCTAACTAGCAGAGGCTTTCGTCACCAGATTCAAGACCAACACTCGAACACCGAAAGAGCTCAACCATCTCCTGAGTGTTAAGATGGAATCTGGAGGCTCTTTAAAGGCATACCCAAGTACTGGGAAACCTACAATGAAATCCTTGATTATCCCACCAATCTGGCGATCGCCCAATACAAGCGGGGTCTTCCAGTCGGACATAGGCTGCAAGACTCGCTCACAATGCACCAATCTACAACCATGGAATCCTTGATGCAGTGGATCAACGAACATATCCGAGTAGAGGATGATGCCACCACCACAACCAAGAAGGAAAATCCGGTTGCAGTGGACAAAAGAGTGGCACGGAAGGTTCACTCGGTGGGACAGGAGGACAACCGCTCAAATGACCAAGCTAGAGACCAACATCGCGGTTCAAACCGCAATGATAGGAACAAAAATCGCAGAAACGACCGAGCTAACACTCCTTGTAATGAAGAGGAAGATGCCAAGAGAAAGTTGAAAGCACGAACCGGCATCACCACTGCCTTTAAAATCCCTATTTATTGCATCCTAAGCGAAAGGTGAATCTTATGTCCGTTGGCCGGCCAAATTGGGAAACACACAGAGGGGCTTCAAGTCGAGGTATTGCTACACCTTCCATGAAGAAAGAGGGAACTGAACGGAGGACTATGTGCCACTCAAACAACATTTGGAGGAGCTGGTGGCGGCTGGGCATCTGGACCAGTACATAGACGGGGGTATGAAAGCTGCTCCCTAAGGACAGGCCGAGCCAAATGGCCTTGTTGTCCTGGATGCAGCGCCTTATGGCGTAATCAATGTCATTCATGGCATCATCGAACCAGCACGGGTTTGCGAGCTGAGCAGGATGATCAACAAAGCTGAGTACATGAGTGAAAAAAGGAAAGACCGAGGTAAAAGACGTCCTAACCTTTTCAAGCAAGGACTTAGAGAGAATTCAAATGCCTCATAATGATGCCTTAGTGGTGACCCTTCGCTTCAAAGACTTCGACATCAAAAGAATTCTGATTGACAATGAGAGTTCGGTCGAAATCATGTACTATGACTCGTTCAAACAGATGAAGTTGGAGGACAAAGACTTGGCTCCAACAATGTCTCCTTTGGTTGTCTTCAACTCTCAATCGGAATGGTCGATTAGAAAGATCATATTGCCTGTCAAAGCAGGATTGGTCACGAAGCAAGTGGAATTTTGGGTGCTTAAGGTCCCCTCAACCTACAACTTAATCTTGGGGAGGAGATGGCTACACATCATGCAGGCAGTAGCGTCAACTTACCACTAGGTCCTGCGCTTTCCAGTGCTAGCCAGACAAGTAAAAGAGGTTTGGGGAGACCAAGTAACGGCGAAACAGTGCTTTGTCGCAGTAAATGGTAGCCGGGCTGCCAAAGGCTTCGTTCAAATAATAGAAGGACCAGAAGGGAAGGAAGTCCTGGAAGACGTGGGAAGAAAGGCCGAGGAGAATTCAATTGAAGATTTGGTGGAAGTGCGCATCGACAAGAATGATCCAAATAAGTTCTTTCTTTTGGGATCATCTTTGTCTAGCGCCGAGCGACTCGATTATGTCAACCTTTTGGTTTCTGACATGGAGGCCTTTGCATGGATGCCTTATGATATGCCTGGTGTCGACCCTAACTTCATTTGCCACCAGTTGAATGTCTTTCCGAATGCAAGACCGGTCATCCAAAGGACGTGACGCTTGGCCTTGTACCATGCCAAGATAGTGGCTGCGGAGGTCAAGAACTTACTGGAAGTGGGGGCAATAGAAGAAGTGCAGTACCCTAGATGGATATCCAACATGGTGGTAGTGTCGAAGAAGAATGGTAAATGGCGGGTGTGCATTGATTATAAGATGGTCAATCGTGCGTGCCCAAAGCATAGCTTCCCCCTCCCTAGAATCGACCAGCTGGTGGATCTAACCGCTGGCCATCAGAGGTTTAGCTTCATGGATGCATATATCGTAGCTAGCACCAGATTGCCATGTACGAACCAGACCGCGAGATCACTTCGTTCACCACTCTAAGAGGCTTATACTGCTACAAGTTCATGCCGTTCGGTCTGAAAAATGCAAGGGCAACTTTTCAAAGAATAGTAACCAAAATGTTCGCCCCACTTCTTGGCCGCACTATGGAGGCTTACATCGATGATATGGTGGTGAAGAGCAGAGACAAGTCTCAACACCTTGCCGACCTAGCAGAAATGTTTGCCATACTCAAACATCACAAGCTGTGTCTGAATGCCTCCAAATGTGCATTCAGAGTTGGAGCCGGCAAATTTTTAGGTTTTTTGGTCACGAACCGAGGAATCAAAGCCGACCCTTCCCAGATCAAGGCAATACAAGAACTGGAGTGACCAAACTCCACGAAGGATATACAACATCTTGCCGGAATGATGGCCGCGCTGAACCAATTTATCAGCCGGTCTTCAGATCGTTGTAAGCCCTTCTTCAAAACTTTGAAGGCCAAGTTCTTTTGGGATGACGAGTGCGACCGTGCATTAACAGATCTAAAAGTATACCTTTCTTCAGCTCCAATCCTGGTCACATCAAAACCGAGTGAAGAACTGTATCTCTACTTGGCAATTTCTCAACACGCGGTGAGCGTTGTCCTCGTCCGCATTGAGGGGATCCAGCACCTCCTCATCTTTTATGTTAGCAAGACACTTCTCCTAGCTGAATCAAGATATCTGCCGCTAGAAAAATTGCCTCATGATGGCTTCCAGAAAGCTAGCGCACTATTTTCATGCCCACACAATAATTGTGCTAACCGAATTTCTGCTCAAGGTGCTATTTGAAAAGGCAGATTTTACCGGTAGAATTTTGAAGTGGGCCGTGGAGTTGGGGCAATACGATATCAAGTTCCAGCCGTGCACTGCTATCAAAGCTTAAGCTCTTGCTGACTTCGTGGCAAAATTTGCCACTGGAACACCCCCTATTTACCCCATCAATTTGGCTAGCGCGGATTTGGCACAGCCCATGGCTCAGGCAGTAGAAACAAGTGGTGGAAGACAACAAGTGGCAGAAGGGCAAGAGAAAGCCGAGCAAGAAATGGAAAAATCGGCTAGCTTGCCAAAATACAAGCTCGATAGAGATATAGAAAAAGACCAGAATGAGTCGACCAGTACCTTGGAGTTGAGGAACTCTCAAAATCCCTCCGACTACTGGAAATTGATCATTGGCGAGATGTGGAAGCTCTTCGTCGATAGGGTCTCCAACAGACATGGCACTAGGCTAGGGGTCGTACTGACATCCCCGGATGGGTTGACCATCGAGCACGCGATAACACTCGGTTTCCCGGCATCCAACAATGAGGTAGAATATGAAGCCCTCCTCGCCGGATTAAAGAGTGCATTGAGAATGAAAGTATCAGAACTTATGGTATTCAGGGACTCCAAATTGGTGGTTAATTAGGTTTCCGAGGAATATGAGGCCAGAGATGAAAGAAAGGCCAAGTATCAAGCATTGGTACGAGCAGAAATCAAAAAGTTTGCCGCAATAAGAATGGAACAAATTTACCGCGAAGAAAACAATGCAGTCGACGAACTGGCCGGCCTAGCATCCATGCAAACAACTTTTCCCAATGCTTTGATGATAGAATTCTTACCCTGACCAAGCATTGAGGAACCAGAGGTGCCTGAAATACTCTGCGTCGACTTAGGACTGTTTTGGATGGATCCCATCATCGCCTTCCTAAAGGATGGAATTTTACCCACTGAAAAGAAGGAGGCCAACAAGATCAGGGCCAAATCCGAGCGGTTTTGGCTTTCTCCATCTGTCGCCTTGTACAAGAAGTCTTTTAATGGGCCATACCTGAAGTGTGTCCACCCCAGCAAGGTAGAAGCTTTCCTCTTCGAGATTCATGAAGGAATTTGCAAGAGTCATATTGGAGGCAGATCTTTGGCTTACTGAGCAATTTCCTAGGGTTATTGTTGGTCATGCATGCAGGTGGACGCACAGAAATATGTTCGCAGATGTGAAAAATATCAAAAATTTGCTCACCAAATCCATCAGCCGACTAGAGAGTTGCTCCCCCTTACAAGTCCTTGGCCATTTGCGTTTTGGGGGCTAGATATTGTAGGGCCGCTTCCAACAACTCCGTATAATCGCAAGTTTTTCATCGCTGCTACCGACTACTTCACTAAGTGGGTAGAGGCCGAGCTGTTGGCCACCATCAAGGAAAAAGATGTAAAAAATTTCATTTGGCAAAATGTCATCACTCGCTTCGGTATCCCAAAGGCCCTCATTTCGGATAATGGCACTCAGTTCGATAGGAAACTCTTTCGCGAATTTTGCGAAGAATTAAAGATTGAGTTTTACAACTCCACACCGGCTTACCCTCAGTCAAATGGTCAAGTAGAAGCTTCAAACAAAACCATTCTAGACGGGCTGAAGAAGTGACTGGAGAAGGCCAAAGGGAAGTGGGCCGAGGAACTCCCCAATGTGCTCTGGGCATACCGCACTACACCAAGGTGCTCAACCGAGGAAACTCCATTTGCCTTGGCCTACGGCATGGAGACAATTATACCATTGAAATCGGCATACCAACCATCCGATCTGAAAGTTTTCAGCCAGACTTGAACAATGAAGCTGTAGCCCTAGAACTTGACCTAGTTGAAGAACAAAGGGAACGAGCTCTAATCCACATAACAACTTACCAACAAGAGCTCTTTAGGAAATACAACAAGACCGTGCATCCTAGGCTATTCAAGGTCGGAGAATGGGTCTTGAGGAAGGTAATGGACAATGCAGTGATCCCTGGCGAAGGCAAATTAGGAGCGAATTGGGAGGGGCCATACAAGATACTGGCTTTGCAGGCAAAAGAGCATACCACCTAGAAAACCTAGATGGTAAAGCTATCCCCAGACCATGGAATATGGCCAATCTCAAGATATTTTACTTTTGAAATGTAACTTTTTCTGTTCTTTTGCTTTTTGTAACTTGACCTTTTGGCATTGGGTGTAAATCAATGACATGTAATGGAAGATAGCCCTACCTTTTTCTTATACTATGCGTTTCTATACAAAGATATTTCAAGGATATTAAGCTACTATGAATGCCATGGGCAAGTAGTCAACAACGGCTTGACTTTGGCCATGCAAACAATTGGTGTTTTGCCCAACTTGCATTAGGGCCGAGTTGACATTGCTCGCCCATACAAACAGTTGGTGTTTTGCCCAATTTATGGTAGGACCGAGCCGGCATGACTCGACCGAACAAACAGTTGGTGTTTTGCATAACTTTCGTTAGGACCGAGGTGACATTGCTTGCCCATGCAAACAGTTGGCGCGTTGCCTAGCTTGTGCTAGGGCTAAGTTAACATTGCTCGCTTGTACAAACAGTTTGGCGTTTTGCCCAACTTGAACTAAGGGCGAGCCAATTTCATTCATAATTATCTGGGCTGATTTTGCTCGAATTGTGAGACTGATTGTGCTCGTCATTCAAAGAGATGATATTTGCTCACCGTTTAAAGAGCAGATTTCGCTCATAATTACCCAAGATGTTTCTTGCTCCTTAATGTAGAGCTGATTTTGATATCAAATTCGCTCAACTTATATTATAGCCGAGCTGACATTGTCCGCCTACTTAAAATGTTGCTGTCTTTGCCTAGTTCTTAATAGAGTTGGTGTTATGTTCAACTAATATTTTAAACAAGGTGAGTTTGATCGATAGACCAAGACGATTTTATCTCGGCCAAACCGAAGAAAATGACAACCATACAAGGCAAACGAAAAATTTGCATAACATAGTGAGCAAAAAGTTAAACTTTTCATTCATCATCAAGTGTGATTACAAAAGTGGGGTGTAGCCCGGTTACATCAAAAAAAAAAAAAAATGAGCAATCCAGGTCAACAGTGTCCGCTTGGTCGGTCGCCCCCATCTCGGTATCTTTAACTTGAGCGCCGACCACCGCGTCCACCTCCTGCTCGGCCTCCTCACACTCTTGGGCTCCTTCCTCAGAAACCTCAGAAGGAGGATTTTGCTCAGTTGGTTGCATGGTGGAAGCTTCGGGCACAGCTATTAGCTTCGCCTCTTCTATTAGCTTCTTCTGTACGGGGCTAGCATAAGCTTGAATGTGGATCGGAATGAAGGCGGCAGGGGGGTTTTGGAACATGTCAGAGTCTTGACCAAGGCCAAGTTTTTCCACTACGGCTTTCCAACCGCACTATAAAAAAATGTCCTTGGTCTCATGTACCTGCCGTTCGTAAGCTTTTGTACCCTCCGCATAGTTGCAGTCTTCAGCATCGTCGACCTGCTTGTCCAGCTTAGCTTTATGGGCTTTGCAAAGTTTTCGTAGCTCGGTGATGTATCTGGCCTTGGTCACCTGGAGGGCATTTTTCTTATCTTCATTCGCCCTGGCCAACCGCTCTGCGAGTCGGTCACGCTCGGCTACCGCCTTTTCCTGTGCGGCCTTCAACTTCTCTAGCTCGGCGGTCTTGGCCTTGTTATCGGTGATGGCCTTAAGCAGACTTTGCCGCACAACGATCATTCCCTCATGAGAAAGATAATTTTTCTACGCGGCCTGCGGACGGACATCAGTTAGTGCGAGGAACCGATCAATAACTTGTAGAAAAACAATGCAAACAAAGACTTGACTACTCACTAGGACGATTGACTTTGCCACCGAACGAAGAACTTTCAGATCAGATAGTTTGTCATGCTTCTTCATGTTCGCAGGAAGCAGTAAGCCGTGGTCATGT